GAGAAGGCGAGGACGGGCGAGACTGAGCATCCGGCAGCGCTCGTTACGTCGGAGTCATCGTGGTGGCTGGCAGAGCTGGAGCTGGCGGCGACATCGACAGCGACGGCGAGGTCGAAGAAGCAGTCGAAGAAGCAGTCGACGGCGACGGCGATGATGATAAACAAACCGCAGCAGCAGCAGCAACAATAACAATAACAAACACCAGGAAGAAAAAGCGACGGCGAGACGAGCTGGCGCAACCTTGCTTGAGGCCGCAGGGATGGCGGACGTTGGCCTCTCTCTCTCTCTCTCTCTTCTTTTTTTTCTTATTTTTTTTTCTATTTTTTTAATTATTTTTTCTTTCTCTCTCTCTCTACGACTCCATCAGGAAGAAACGGCCGGACTCGAGACGGAGGAAGAAGAAGAGGAAAGGCAAAAAGGCAGGTAAGCGAGCTGAGATCTGAAGAGCCCGAGATGAGCGGCGGCTCAAGGAGGGTTTCTGGCCTGGTGGAGCAGCGGCAGCAGGACGAAGAAGACGGCGAGGACGAGGGAGAGCACGAAGAGACGAGCGACGGCGAGGGACGGCGAGGGCGCAGAAACAGGCTAGACAGGACAAACCAGCAGCGGGCAAGGGAATGATGAATAGAAAAAAGTTGGATCTTGACTAGCCGGCGCCTTGGAAGACGTGGATCTCCCTAGGGCTGCCTGGTTACAGATACGGAGGAGCTGTGGAGGTCTGGCGCTGACGCTGCGAATACGGCGGTGATATTGGGATATTTTGATATTATTATTGATATATCTGGTAGGAGAGAGCTAGGGGGGGGGGTTGACGGTGATGTTGATACGGGCTGACAGCGGACACACAGACAGACAGACGGACGGACAGACCGAGAGACAGACAGCTACAACCGCCAGACGAGATGCCGATGATAGCTCTCTGCAAGTCCAAGTCCGTGATGGTGATTATGATGATTGATGATGATGATGATATCAAAAAACAAAAAAAAACAAAAAAAACAAAAAAAAAAAAAACAAAAGCACCAAGGACCGCCTGAGACGAGACGGGATGCTCGACCTTCCCCCCTTTCCGTTGCTTTTTCCAGCTTGCTTCTTCCTCCTTCTTTGGCGCCAGAGCGAAAAAGGGCAGATCTCAGCAAGCGACTTCCCTGCTGCAGCCAATCGACAGCCCGGCTTGCCAACTTGGCGTCTCCGTCGTGCTGGCATCGACGTGCTTCCTCCTCGATGCTTGCTGGCTGCTGGCTGGCTGCTGGCTGTGGCTGCTCGTCTCTTCTATTCGCATCCCGGTCCCTGGCCTGCGTAGCGTAGCGTGTGCTGCCGGGACACTGCCTAAGGGGGCAGCAGGATTGGGGGCCCTTGTTTCATGATGGCGGCAGAGCATCCCCATCGTCCTCTCGCTCCTCGCCCCTCTCTTCTTTGGCTGCTGCCGCGCTCTCTCTCTCTCTCTCCCTCTCTCTTCTATTTACGGAGTACCTTTTTATTTGAGTTAGCCGGCTCCTGGCCCGCAGAGCGCAGAGCAACCTCCTAGCTGGGCAGGTTGGTTGGTTGGCGGGTCGACAGCGTTGCCGGATGCGCCATCGTACATGGGGAGGTGGAGGTGGATGAGGACAGGGCCCGGATGCAGCTTGGTGCTGCCAGGTTCTACAGCAGCCAGGCTGGTGCTGCCAGTCTCACAGGCACAGGTACAGGCACACGCACAGGCACAGGACGAGCAGGAGCAGGCAGAGACGGCGCAGATGATGCAGAACCAAGCTGCATGCAGATGGTGCGGCCGAAGGGGCAGGCAAGGCAGGCAAGGGGGGAATACAGGATGCACCGCTATCTACCGCCAACATGTAACCGGTCAACGCTGCACGGAGAAAAGGAATATACGGAGTAGTCATCATCATATCCTCCGGCACTCTCTTTGCGCCTGACAAACGGTGACAGTGCCCAGCTGCCTGCAGACGGCTTGCGAGTTCGAACTCCATCAGTCCTACCTCGCTTCGACCTGGCTTGTTTTTCCTTTATTATTCTGTCTATTCTGTCTGTCACTGTCATCGTCGTTGAATTTTGATGTTTTTATTTTTATTTTTATTTTTATTTTTATTTTCGGTTGTTGTAGAAAGTTAACTAGTTGTATTATGTAATCATGATTAACCGCCAAAAAACCACAAAGGAAGAAGGAGAAGAAGGCGGCGACGGCGACGACGACGAGAAGGAATAGGAAAAGAAGAGAGAGAGAGAGAGTAAAAGGAGACGATATAAGAGAAAAGGAGACAGAGGTAACAGCAGGAACCAAGATGGAGGCAGAAATAAGAGCCCAAATCCCATCGATAGATCATGTGATATCAGACTACGCCGTGGTGAGTCGAGACTGCAGCAAAGGAAGAAGACGACGACGACTTGATATACAGCAAGAAGCCATGCATCGATGCTTGAATACCGGCTGACTCTGCCTAGGGATACCTCACTCATGCCTCCAGAGCATATACTGGAGATGAAGAGCACGGCGGCTTCTCCCCGCTGTCCGAGGCTGCCGAGACGGTGTCCGCCCTGCTCGTCTCTGCCTCAGGGGACTTCAGCAGCCAGAACGAAGAGGCCGTCCGCAACCTGGTGGAAAAGTTCATCACGACCCTGAGCGCGGTCGATCCAGAGAAGAGGCAGATGGCCTCGACTGCTGCCAAGAAGCTCGACCAGACCATCCATGTCGGGTCGCAGCGCAACATCTCCTCGACCCTGGGCCTGTCAGGCGTCACCGTCGACCTCGAGTCGGCCAATACCCGCAAAGTAGAGTCCCGCGTCGACAAGAAGAAGCTCGAAAAGGCCGAGCGCAAGATCAGGGACAAGCAGGACCGCAAGATCATGAAGAACGTCGAGTATGAAGCTTCAAAGCTCATCACCCAGGCAAACGATACCCAGTCCTACGAGGAGTTCTTCATGGCCGTCAACCCCTTGCAGCTTGGTGCCGACTCCCAGACCAAGAGCAAGGACATCAAGGTCGATGGTGTCGACGTCTCCATCGGCGGTAAACGCATTCTCACCGATACCACTCTTTCTCTTTCGTTCGGCCGGCGTTACGGCATGGTCGGCCAGAACGGTATCGGAAAGTCTACCCTCCTGCGTGCCCTCAGCAGAAGAGAGGTTGCCATTCCCACACACATTTCCATTCTCCACGTCGAGCAAGAGGTCAGTCCTCTCCATCCTCACTATTTTCCATCAATCATTACTTTACACACTAACCACTGCTGCAGATTACTGGTGATGATACCCCGGCTCTACAGGCAGTTCTCGATGCAGACGTATGGCGCAAACGTCTCCTTGCAGACCAGGAGGTATGTTTCTTTTTATTATTACTATCATTATTATTTTTCATACAAAGGATATATTCATATATTTGACTTTATAGAAAATATCATCTCAACTGGCCGCCATCGAGGCGGAGCGCTCTACCATGGCAGATACCTCCAAGGACGCTATACGGCTTGACCAGGAACGAGAGGGTCTGGATATCACACTCTCTGATATCCACGCCAAACTAGCAGAAATGGAGTCCGACAAGGCTGAGCCTCGTGCCGCTAGCATCCTGGCCGGTCTCGGTTTCTCTCCTGAACGCCAGCAGTACGCTACCAAGACTTTCTCCGGTGGTTGGCGAATGCGTCTTGCCCTTGCCCGAGCTCTCTTCTGTGAACCTGACCTTCTCCTCCTTGACGGTGCGTTCTATTTTTTTCTCCATTATTTAACTATCCAACGCTGAGGCTGACCCACTGTAGAACCGTCTAACATGTTGGATGTGCCGTCCATTACCTTCCTCTCCAACTATCTCCAATCTTACCCCAGCACCGTACTGGTCGTTTCTCACGACAGGGCTTTCCTTAATGAAGTTGCTACTGATATCATCCACCAGCACTCGGAAAGACTGGACTACTACAAGGGTGCTAATTTTGGTACGTCCATTGTCCTCTCCTTTTTTTTTTTTTTTTTTTTCTTTTTTGAGTCAATCAATACAAATCTAACAACTCTATAGACTCCTTCTACGCTACGAAGGAAGAGCGAAAGAAGAATGCCAAGCGTGAATATGAAAACCAAATGGCCCAGAGAGCCCATCTACAAGGTAAACCAGGCCAATCCCTACCCCCTATTAGACAAAAATAGTAACTCTGTACTTTATAGCGTTCATCGACAAGTTCAGATACAATGCCTCCAAGGCTGCTGAAGCACAGTCTAGAATCAAGAAGCTGGAAAAGATGCCGGTTCTTGAACCCCCGGAGAGCGAGTATACTGTTCACTTCAAATTCCCCGACGTCGAGAAGCTTTCCCCTCCAATCATCCAGATGACGGATGTCACGTTCGGCTATACGAAGGATAACGTCCTACTTCGCAATGTCGACCTAGACGTCCAGCTTGATTCACGAATCGGCATTGTTGGTCCTAACGGTGCTGGTAAAACCACGGTCTTGAAACTGCTTACCGGCCAACTACAGCCTTCCAGTGGACTGATCTCCCAACACCCAAGGCTCCGCATTGGTTTCTTTGCCCAACATCACGTCGATGCCCTAGACATGACCACCTCTGCTGTGGGGTTCATGGCTAAAAAGTACCCCGGAAAGACCGAGGAAGAATACCGACGACACCTTGGAGCGTAAGTCTACCAGGGTCCTCCCTCTCTTTCACTCATTAAAACTAAATACTAACTTTTTTTTGTTTACCTTTAGATTCGGCATTACTGGCATGACCGGTCTTCAAAAACTTGAACTCCTTTCTGGAGGTCAAAAGTCCCGTGTTGCATTTGCCTGCATATCCCTGACAAACCCACACATCCTCGTCCTTGACGAACCGTCCAATCACCTCGATATCGAGGCCATGGACGCTATGACTGACGCTCTCAACAATTTCCAGGGCGGTGTCCTGATCGTCTCCCACGACGTTACAATGGTACAAAATGTCTGCACCAGTCTGTGGGTCTGCGACAAGGGGACCGTAGAGAAATTCCCTGGAGACGTCAATGCGTACAAGAAGAGAATCATTGCCCAAGCTGACGCAGCTGGTGTCGCTAAGGCTCATTAAATTAGTTGTATCTTCGCTTTATAACGGCTAAAACAAAAAGTTGCATACCCCAGCCATGACAAAAATGAAATGAACGATCATGAACTTCTCCAACTCTTTCATCCAGTGTAGTCTCGATTACCTAAACAGGAAAAGATCCATCCATGCTTACTTATGCACGTGATGGGATCTACCCGCGCAAACCGGAGACCCTCGATTGTCATTGGCCAGGAAATTAAAGATCGGGGGTTGTATGACGTCACACTAGTGGACAGCTATAAAACTCTTCCATTGCCTTCTGGCTCGGAACGACGGAGAAGCAATAAACAGTTCGGAGCTACCTACCTAACAGTAAGAACGTCGGTGCCTAAACGGCAGCTGAGTCCTTGGAGCTTCCACTCGCAACGTCATGCGCCACACTCACCGTCGTTGAGCTGCTTTGCCACTCTGTTATACACAATATCCACCACTACATCATACTGGCGACCCATTCCTGGCCCAAGTCTCAAATTTGGTGACCTTCTGATCATTTAATACTGCTCGACGGTCATGTCTCACGGCAAGTTTATGTTGGTTAGCCAAGTTATGAGTCAGTTGCCGAGTGAGACTCAACGTTAACCGGCCTAGTTTTTACAGGTAGACCTCCTGACTGCCGGCCCATCATCATTTCGGGGCCCTCGGGCGTTGGCAAAGGCACATTGTGCCAAAGACTAGTCAAGTCTTACCCTGATACATTTGCCTTTACAGTATCTCATACTACACGGGGACCACGACCTGGGGAAGTTGAGGGTGTAGCCTATTACTTTACAAAGGATGATGCATTTTCTGCACTCGTCTCACAAGATGGGTTCGTTGAATATGCCACCTTCAACGGTCACCGTTATGGTACGAGTAAGCAAACCATCTCGGGCTTGGCTGAGAAGGGACTCATTGCCGTGCTTGATATTGACATACAGGGTGTCAAGCAATTAAAGGCAGCCTCTAGTATTGATGCCCGGTATGTATTTATTGTACCGCCCAGCCTGGAATGCCTTGAAGCCCGGCTTAGGAGACGGGGTACTGAGGCAGAAGAGGATATCCAGCACCGACTTGCCCAATCTACTATCGAACTCAGCTATGCTGATATTCCGGGCTTTTTTGACAAAGTCATAGTCAACGACGAGTTGGACAAGGCTTACGATGAGCTTGTCCAGTTTGTCCATGGAAGTTAGCAGTCTTGGAGTTGGCCAGCTTCAGGCTATGTGGCGTAGTTTAACCTTGGATCCTTGCAATGGATCCATGGATGGATGTGTTAACTATTACTGTTCCTACTATACTAAACGGGAAGCAATCAGCATCTTATCATCTCCCCCTTTTTTATATTTCAAACCCGTCAAGAAGTAGTATTCAGTAACATATGGTTAAGGCTGAAATAGATGACTAGTTACTCGTCTTTACTCGTCTTTCCTTGATAGATCCTGGGCCCTGCATATCCTCTATCAACGCCTACCAGGCCGCACGCCGTTGTACAGGAAGTCTCAATAGTGTCGATTATATAATCCATTATCTTCATTAGTTTATTCAAGTCACATGATATTAAATAAGTTAGACCAATCAGAAGCCTTGTAGGAGAAACTACATGCAAGTTTTCGTCTAAAACTGGTTAAATTGACTGTCTCGCTTGCTAGCTCGGCTGTTCGCTCGGCAAAAAACAACCAACCGCAGGCGAGTCCTCCATCTACTTCTTGATAAAGAAGAGACTTGACAGGCCAACAGACGAACAAATAGAGAGGAGAATCACGAATCTCGACGGCGATAGCAGGCTGAAGAGGATGGGACGGCAAGGGACCTGCATCGTGGCAGTTGATACTAATGGTGGATAAGTATCGTCAAGGATGGCAAACTAACCCTGCCAGCCCCCCACTAGTTACCTAGACTGCGGAAGACCGAGCAGAGAACTCATCTCTGGACGTCTGTCTCTCCCTCTGGTATCTTGCTGTAGATGCGCGCGAGGACGATTCATCCTCTGTCAATTGGCTCTGCCAGTACCGAGGAACTGCCTGCTTGGCAGTCAGTCGCATAGCTATCAGTCGTCTACGGCACCAGAAAGAAGCTATCAAGGGCCATCGCAGCGTCGCATCTCACCAGCTTCGACCTCAACACCGTACGAAGACCTCTTCCATGATGCCTGACCTCGAGAAGATGGCGGCGGACCAGTCGTCTGTTCGGCCAGACTACGAGACTCCCGTCCCGTCTCGCTCCCACTCCATTATGTCTAGCTCAGGCACCTCGGGCCACTCCTCCGCCCTCGAGCCCATAGCCACCCATCACACAGATGTCCATGCCATCAACAGCGGCAGCAATGGATATGATATCTCTGCCTGCATGTCCCGGGCTACGACTCGCGACCTCGAGCGCCACCCCACCTTGCTCAGTCGCATGGCCACCCAGCGCAGTCAACACAACGAGACTGTCGGCTCTACCCGATCACGGCCGCTGGATAAACCGCTACCTCCATTTGGTGCAGGAAAGCCGTATCCTCCTCCTCTGCCCGAGAAGGAAGAGTACGTCGTCGAGTTTGATGGGCCAGATGATCCTCTACACCCTCAGAATTGGTCCCTGAAGCGGAAGTAAGTATATATCCCTCGGCAATATCAGATCAGGGGTAACTAACGACTATAGGATATTCACTGCGCTGATACTAGCATGGACGACCATTATCTCATCCTTTACCAGCAGCATCTTCTCCACTGCCACTATCGAAGTGTCTCGTCAATTTGGCGTCTCGACTGAAGTAGGCATTCTGGGCCTCTCTCTCTTCGTCTTGGGTTACGCTACAGGCCCTATCATTTGGGCTCCTCTATCCGAGCTCCGTGGCAGACGATTCCCCATAATCCTCGGCAGCGTTGGCTTCACCATTTTCCAATTCGGCCTTGCGTCAGCCAAGGACCTGCAGACGGTCATGCTCTGCCGCTTCTTTGGCGGCTTCTTCGGGGCCTGTCCTGTTGCAGTCGTGGCTGCTGTCTTCTCAGATATGTTTGACAACCGCCTGCGTGGTCTTGCAATTACCCCGTTCTCTATGACAGTCTTCACTGGACCTTTGCTAGCACCCTTTATTGGTGGCTTTATCGTCGATTCCTACTTGGGCTGGCGCTGGACAGCTTTCCTGCCGGGGATCTTGGGGGCTTCTGCGCTCATTCTCAACGTCTTCTTCCTCGCAGAAACCTATCCGCCTGTAGTCCTCATCGAAAAGGCTGCTGAACTCCGCCGCCTGACTAAGAACTGGGGCATCCACGCCAAACAGGAGGAAATCGAAGTCGAGTTTAGCGAGCTTGTCGAGAAGAACTTCTCTCGTCCGCTGAAGATTCTATTTACTGAACCAATTGTCCTCCTTCTCAGTATTTACTTGGCCTTCATCTATGGACTGCTCTATCTGTTCCTCACTGCCTACCCGATCGTCTTCCAGCAGATTCACGGATTCAACAAAGGTGTTGGTGGCCTACCTTACTTTGGGATGATCATCGGCCAGCTCATTGGAGGTGCATCAATCATTCTCTCTCAGCCATGGTATATACGCAAACTAGAAGCTAACGGCGGGGTGACTGTTCCTGAATGGAGATTGCCACATGTTATGGCAGGTGGAGTGTCATTCTCAATTGGTCTCTTCTGGTTTGGATGGACCGGGTATAAAGCCGATATACATTGGATGGCTCCCACTGCTTCAGGCGTGTTTACCGGATTTGGGCTGCTGGTTATTTTCTTGCAAAGTCTCAATTATATTATTGATGCCTATCTAGTATTGTACGTCTCCATAGAGAATACTTTGCACTTGTTATCTCGGCTAATCTGTGTCTAGTGCCGCATCTGCCATTGCAGCAAACACTCTTCTTCGATCGCTTGCCGGAGCTGTCTTCCCGCTGTTTGCTTCGTACATGGTGAGTTTTGTTACCCAACGTTTCTCCTGTTGCCATGCATATCTAATGATATCTATAGTTTAAAGGTCTTGGAATAAACTGGGCAGGGACGCTGTTGGGCTGCTTTTCTGCGGTTCTCTGCCCGATCCCGGTGATATTTTACTTCTATGGCCACCGCATCCGTGCGAAGAGTAAATTCGGACCCAAATTTACACTCGAGCAGGAAATGGAGCGAGATATGTAGGAATATATATATCTCCATCCGATTCCGTAATGCCGGTCTTGATTTCTTCTTCTTCTTGTTCTTCTTTTTTTAATGTGCATTTATACCCTTCTCTGTTCTGGTTTGCTTTTGGATTGGATTGCGATATACCCTGTCATGATTCAGGTACATTCTGTTCTTCAGCATGCCAGCTAGAGTGTATATATATATCTGTGTTTGTGTTTCGGCTCCAGTCTAGTACAAAGCGCTGCATGTAGTGGGGAAACAATAGGTGAACCATACTGAAATTATGAATGCCAACAAAGGGTAACTTGCTCTATGTATCAGTAGAAAATTTACTTCTCGCTACAAATATCTGCCAACTCTGCTCTACACCCCAACCTTGGTCAAGCAAGCCTCTGACATCCTCGAGACCCAACCCTGTCATTTCGGGGTAAATCCTCCATATGCCCACCCATCCAATGGCACAGATAAGGGCATATAGGAAAAAAGTCCACCCAGCTCCCATCCATCGCATCATTGGTAGGAAAGTCAAGCCAATGATGAAGTTAGATCCCCAGTTCGTACCCGTTGCTAGGGCAGAGCCAAGGCTTCGCACGCTAAGTGGGAAGAGTTCCGACTGTTGCCATGGTACATTGCCTAACCCGGAAGCGTAAGATGCAGTGTATGTCGTGAGACAGAGCAGTATGATAGCGGCCTGGGAGTTTTTCGGAGCTGGCGTTCCCGAGGCACCCCCATCACCGAGAGATGTTGATGGGAATGCAATGGCGCAGATAACGAGTGACACAACCATGACTGGAATTGAGTATAGCAGTATACGACGACGGCCGATACGGTCAATGAGCGCATAGGCGAGAAACGTGAAGACGAAATTTGTTCCTGCGACAGAGAGAGACGTGAGGGTTGGCGAGGAGAAGGAGAGAGACTTGAATATTGTTGCCGCGAAGTACATGAGTGAATTGAAGCCGCAGAGCTGCTGGAGACCCTGGAGTGTACATGCTATGATGAGTGCACGGCGGTGGCAGCCGATAGTGAAGAGCTCAGTGTATGTTCTTTTGACTTTGTGCAACCATAGCCTTGGTGTGGTGGATGCAGAGCTGGCTCTAGTAGAGTCACCTGGCCGAGTGTCTGTCTCAGCCGAGGCATGTAGTACTTCCTGCTTGATGTCTCGAAGAATATGTTCAACAATCTGGTTACTCTGCTTGGTGTCACCGTAGACTCTTCGCATGATCTGGCGAGCTTCATTCACCCGGCTGGCGCGAACAAGCCACCTTGGAGTCTCGGGGAGAAAAGCAAGTATCAAAAGTTGTATGATACCAGGTGAAGAACCAAGACCAACCATCCATCTCCAGCCTCCAGGCTGGCTGGACAGAAGCCACCCTACGATGTAAGCTATCACCTGCCCTCCAGTCACGAGGAGGCTAAGTACAGTCACCATCCTGCCACGTAGGTGTGACGGAGAGAGCTCAGAGATATACCTGGGAAGACAAAAGTAAGTATTTGGCATTGTTCAAAAGCTGGGGGCATAGTAGTGGAGGTTACAGTGGTGTTATCAAACTTGACATGCCTATGGCCAGTCCTACCAAACTCCGGCCGGATATCATCCCCCAAACGGTGGAAGTGATGCCCTGCCATAGAGACCCGATAATGAATAAGACACCGGAGATGATTATTGCAGGCTTGCGGCCAACTTTATCACCCAGTACACCTCCTAGGGGGCTGGCTATAAGCGCAAAGAGGCTGGTCGAAGATGTGATCAAACTCCTGTCAAGGATGGTTAACTCGCGCTGAGAGAGATCTGTTCCGATCGACACTAGGGTTGACGATATAACTCCGGTACTATGGGGTTCGAGTATAAATAGTAAGATTATAATCTTTGTGGTATAGTAGTACATTCATACATGCTTGGACATACTCATATCCGAACAAGAAGCCGCTGATACCGGCGGCGAAGGTCAACGCCCAAATAAACCAGGTTGCTGTGCTTGTAGCAGACGGGTCAGCGCTAACGGCTGCACCAGCTTCGTTTCCCGGGCCTGATGGACTGGTATTATCATGGTGAGGGCCTTCGAGCAACGGAGCTGTGGCATCAAGGGTATCGTCCTTAGCACTCGCCATCGACTCTAGCTCAAGGTCCACCTCCACCTTTGCTCGCGGCTCTCAACTTCAACGTCAAAAAGATATTAGGCAGGCAGTGTTTATATACACAGCGTGGTAACTCCTTGCATGACACTGGGATATTGGGGTGATGCTCTCTGTGTCCCCCCTTTTTATATCAACTGCTCAGCTTCTTGGCCTTTCTCCCTGCATCCACGCGACCAGATGAGCATCACGTGGAATAAAGCTATTCACGTGATTTATACTAGTCTGGATCAGGTTAGCCCGCCACAAACCGCTTTTGACCCTTCTGCTTACTTAAGCCAGCGAAATCAGGGGCAGAACAAGCACTTTTCCAGGGGTCTTGGGGTGGATTTGGTACCTGAGCCCATCCATCGCATCCTGCAGCTTAGCCTCTGTGGTTAAGGAATATATCCATGTACTTAGCATCTCCGTACTTACACTTCCCGAGGTACAGTTCCACCTTGCACTCTCTGGCGAGATGATGCTTACGTAGTCAGCTGCGCCGGACAGAAGGGGGCCAGAAGCGCCCAGGACGACGCAATGGCTGGAGGTCGGTTCGATACTCCGTAGAGATTCGATAGATTCGAAAGATTCGATAGTCGCATCGCACAGAGTGGATTACTAATAATGAACCCATCCATAGCTTATTTAAGCTAAAATCACGTGATATATTACCTAACAATTTAAACCTTGAAAAAGAAAAGATAATCCAAGTTTTTGTTTTTTTGCAGCGAATCAAGAAAAAGAAAAGAAAAGAAGAAGAAAATAGCGATATCGAAGATCACAAAAAATATATACGAAAAGGAAGACAAGCAAAAGACGTCCGGACTCTTGACAGGTAAACGAGCCAGAGTGGAAATGTGAGCTGGCATGCATGTATACCCGGGCTATATCTGCCCCCGTTCGCCCAGCGCTGTCTGGCCCGTCGGCCTGTCTTCCTTCATGCGAGATTTCAGGCTTGTCGCAGGCGCCGCTTTTTTCTTTTTTTAGTGCTATCCAGGCACCGGCCAATCAGCGGCCGGGCAGGGGCGGCTTCTCCCTTTTCCTCCCTTCGTCCTTTTCTCGACTTCACGCCTTTTTCTTCCGCCGCTCGTCTTCTCATCCCCCGACATCGAGCTCGACTTCATCTCTCGACGTCTTCACCGTCTCCGCCGTCCAGCCTGACCTGCTGACAGGTCGTTCCGCTCCTTTGATGGCCTGAGGCGCCGCGCTCGCTGCCGACTCCTGCTCTGTTTACTTCTCCAGGGCTGTGCCGGGGGACCCTTCTTTAACCTTCGTTTTTATTTTTTTTGTCACCCATCTGTCGTTTACACAGGATAAAGAAATATCGCGATATCTTTAACACTCACTCAATACATTGCGGCTCTCTGGTTTGGCGTAACGGACTGCTAGATTTACGACTCGTCCATTTTACCCTGTGTTGCTGTCTTTTTGGTGCGACTCTTCTGTATCTTTCATGACCTGAACCACCACGACCTGGATCAACTACGACGGCTATTTTGCGATGCATAACCACCACCACAACCACAACCTCCATCATCGTCCCCGGGGGCCTCAAGGGGGCGATGTTCCCGTTCCTGCTCTCATCGTTCGCTCGGCCCCGATCCCAAATCACCGGATTCCTCTCCTAACCAGAGTCGAAGAGCCGGCCGTGGCAGAGCCGATGGCACGGCCGCCGGAGCGGAGAGAGAGACCTGACACTACACGCCTTGTCCCACGCCGAGATGCGACCTGTAGTCCTGATAACAATGCGGGGAAGGATTGCGGCCCAGGACTCACTGAGACGCCTACAGTGGCCATTGCTCTTGGTGTTGTGTATGTCTAGAACCTACCTAGGAAGTCATGATTAGTACTAATAACAAGGCTATAGGATCCCCCTTGTTTGTGCTTTCATAGTCTTCTTCCTTCTCCACAGACGCCATGTCAAGAAACTGCGGAAGGAAGACGAGCAGGACAAAATCAAGGCCCTCGACTATGGCCTTGATGATGTTCCTGCGTCTAACAACGGAGCCAAAGTCCGGACAGGGGGCGGTCAGGGAGTCGAAAAGAACGGCGACGGCCACAAGCCCGGTATGTCCATGGATTGGGCCATGGATAGCCCCTATTTCCTGCCGCCAGGACTGCAAAAGTCCCGTGGCTCGCTGCACTCTCTTTCTCGAACAATCCCGGGCGAGGATAAGTACGGGATAGCCTTTGATGGCAATGGCAGCATCAGATCAAATACCCCTACCCGTCGACATAACAACGCAGATGATGCCTCTAGCTATACGGCCGGAAGCAGTCGACGTGTAGGTGGTGCTGATGGTCAACATCACCACAATGGCGGTCTAGGCGACGACATGTCTCAGAATCTGCTTCGGAACGCGCAACGCATGTCCACTTCACCCCCTTTAGCTGCCGTCCCGGCTGAATCCCCCAGCCCACCACAGCCAGCTCATCTGCCATTTGACAATCGTTTTGACGAGTTGGGCCTTCCCTCTTCTATAAGCAATAACTACAACAACAACAATAACCACAAGGAAATCACAAACAACAGCGACAACAACAACAGTGGCACTAGCAGTAACACCGGCGACGATAATCATCAGATGGGTGCTGCGGGGAGCAAAGACCCGGCCCTGCGAAGTAGCCACAATTACCTGGGTCAATTCATCCACAGTGGTAGCAGATCATCGACACCAGACGACCAGAAAAAACAAGTCAGTGCCTCCAACCAGCAGGACGGTCATCCTTCTCTCCCAGGCCTGGCATTTTCGGCCAATGATGGACCAAAATTGGATTTCAACTTGGGGCCGTCTTCCATACCTGCTGCTACTGCTGTTACTGGACATCAACAGGGTGATGCTGATAGTGACTACGGTGACGAAACCAAGCTCGCTTCAGGTCTGCCACAGTTCAACATCATGCCTGCCGAAGAGCAGCAGCAGCACCAGCAGCTACATGGTGACGAATATGGACACGGATATCCAGAAGAAGGGGATGATGGGACGGACAGCATCCACGACGTTTATGACCAGTACTACGACTCCAACCACCTCATTGATACCCGTAGACTTACCATGGGGATTCGGCCACTGCCGCCTGAGGACCCATCAGACAACCCCGAGCAGCGAGCAAACCGCATCCGATCGTTCTACAAAGAATATTTCGACGAGAGCAAACCCTTCCAGCAGGACTACATCGAGGACTACGGCGATGTGCCTCCACTGCCCAACCCAGCTGCACCCTTTGCTCAGCCTCTGCCTCGTCGAGCAATGACTCCTCCCCCAAGGATGCCTCCTGCCTTCCCTCCACGCCGTCACCCAGGGGTAGGCCATCAGCCGCCACCTGGCATGGGTGGTATGAACAGGGGATTCGCCCACAGCGCTACAAATTCCCTGGCAAGTGGTGGTCACCCCATGGGCGGTCCACGGGCCTTCTCTTCTGCTTCAGGTCGCATTCCTCATCCACGGCAAAAGAAGCCTCTTCCGCCACCTTCACCCTTGCACATCCTGCCTACTCCGCATAAACTCAAGGACGACACCTTCCTGCCTATCGACTTTGCACCAGGTCCTCGGGCTCGAGACCGCCAGGCCGGTCGACCGGAGACCCCCCTGGGCGGCTTGCAACATTACAATCTCATGGTCCCCTCGCATAGTCCTCTTGTCTCATCCTTTGACGAACTTCCCTCCGTCCCCAGCCCGTAAGTTGTTTCCTGCTTTTTAACTAATCACGTTGAATATTTGGTTTCGTTAGAGTTTAGGGTTAGGGTTGGTTCTAACAATCAGCGTTACAGTCATGCCCTCCGTAAGTCCGGCACGTACACTGCCCTCGACTTTGCACCACCGCCTCGCTTCAAGAACGAATCCGGCACCGGCAGCGACGCAGGCAGTATCCGCAGCAACCGCACTGGCATATCTGCTCTGCAGGCTCACAACATCCGCTCGGGCGCCTACCGCGTCAGTCGTCTGCCAGCCGACACAGTTGGGACACGAGACGACTTTAGCTCCAACCTTAAGCCCCAGTGGGAGATGCGTACTTGACCTGACGCCTCACATGCTGTCCTACCTTTTTGCCTCCCTTCCTCTTCTTGATGTCTAATTTGTCTATATTCTGCTAACATTATACATATATACACATTCACATATATCTTTCGCTTATAATCTCGGGGTCGAGTGTCTGTTGCTCCCGCATCCTTTCTTTTCGACTTTTTTGTATCTACTTATAGACGGTGCTTCTGCTAGGTGTTCTATCTGGCCATCTTCATCAGCGCTTTGCCTTCCTCTAGCTAGTTATATATATATATATAACTTCTATGCTATGCTATGCTATTCTGCCCTTTCATGGCCCTCGTTTTGTATCCTATAAATAGCAACAGAGCCTCGTATTCGCGTATTAGCCGTACGGTAAGTAATGGCGTTACGGGCGTCAAGCCACTGCCACTTCCTTGTGCGAGGCGGCGTATGTAACTGTATTACTCGAACGGCGGTACTGCCCCTTTTTCCTTGCTCTGGAGTTGAACAGGACGAAGATCGAGACATGATAAAAGATGAAGATCAGCCAGACCGTGCATGTATCTGCAGTACAGTAGAAGAAGGCGAGCAGGACGTACTCTGTCGTAGTGGCATCTGTAGACGAGCAACAGGCAGCAGAACGAGTGTTCGGCCCGCAGGCGAGGAGAGTCCACTGTCGTAACATAAAGGGCGTGTTGCTGGCTGGCGGTTCGCTGTTCCTGGCCAGCAAAAGTCAACTCAACCCCCGGAGCCAGCCCTGCGTCCCCGGTTTTTCCCCTTGAGGCCTCTCTCCAGGCTCTCTCTCTCTCTCCTCTCCTCTCTCTTCCCATCTCAAGCATCACTTGGTCCTTTTCTACAGAGTA